TGAGTTTGGTTGTTGAATGATGCTGCAAAGGATGGTTCTGAGTCCTGGCTTACCAAAAGCCTAGCTAGACTGCTGTGTTAAGCAGGCATTCAGGTCAGGTGGCTACTAGGGCGGCTTTATCCATCGGGCTGCTGCGTACATCTGTATCACGCATCTCAGAAACAGCCTTTGCTGCGGTGCCTCTCCACCATCTGCTTATCTCAGCGTCGCACTGCAGTTTCTCTTCTTTGGTTTCGATTCGAGATTGTTCATCTTCCCTTCTTTTATAAATACCTCTCGCAACACTTGCTAACTAACCAGTCGATCCAATTTTTCGTCTTCCCATCTCTTCGGCTCTTCATTCTGTCACGTCTCACACACTCCCGTTCTCGGTTTCTTCCCTGAGTCTCATGTTCCAAACAACAACGTGCCTGGGAAACCACTGCCGAACCCACTTACACGTCAGCTCCCCCTTTCCCATTTCCATCCCGGCCTACTGGCCAGGAGGACCGCGCCTCAGGTCTACAAGAATTCAGAAAAAACACACTGCCCCCTACCGTTCAGGGAAGAAAGGAAGAAAGGAAGAAAGAAAAAGAAGAACCAACACACTTGCAAAGGCGCTGGAGCCGACTGAGACATCGGTCACATTAGCTGTAACAATGGGAGCTCGGGTCTAAAGGGATTTGAGTTCTCCTGGGGTAGTTCCCACAGGCACAGAGACTCAACTTGGAGGGCTGGGCCGAAGTCCCCATGGTACAGGCCGACTGAGCCAGTGCCACGGACCAGCAGCAGGCACGTGGAGGGGAAGGTCCTTCCCTTCACCGTGGCCTCTGGATGGAGTGTCATGAGCCGGTTTGCTCCTCAGGAATGGTTATCCGTCATTAAGGTAACAACGCTATCCCTGGAATCCCTCTCTAAGAGCCTCTCCTTCAAGAAGCGTCCATTGTCACACTCAGAAGTCCAATTAAGTATGATTAGGGCGAAGCTAAAAAACAAAAACAATAAGTACCCATGGCCAGAAGCAGGCCTGGAAACAATTTTCTGTGGTTGAGGGTCAGCTCATGTCATCCCAGCTGACGCAGCTCCAGGCAGCAGCTGCGACCAGCCGGCCCCCAGGCCCTCTGCGACGGCCCAGGAGGCTCCTCACTACTGGCTTGGACCCACCTTTCCAGTCGCCCCTCCGGGCACGTCAGCTTCCACGATCCCTTCCCCAGAGTTGTCCCTGCAGCTCCTCGGGCTGGCTCCTTCCTCCCAGGCCTGATGTCTCCCACAGGCCACCAGGTCTTCCCTCATCCTTTCCCTGAAGAAACCTTCACCCAGCTTCCAGGTCTGCTTATTTGTCTTCTCCATGAAGCTTCCTCCTCCCATGCCCCACCTCTCCTCTCCGCCTTCTCTGCACAACTGGAAGCGATTTTCACAACCCACGGCAGGTGAGCTGATAGGTAGAGATGCATTTTAAATTCAGCTTTCACTTCAAACTGTTTCACCATCCCCGCCAAACTCCACAAACCAAACTCGAGTTGACTCTGGCTCAAAGAGACACCAGGGAACAGAAGAGAACTGCTTCTGTGGGTTTCTAAGACTGTAGCTCTTTAGGGGAGTTGAAAACTTCATCTTTCTCCCATGGTGTGGCAAATGGTTTTGAACTGCTGACCTTCTAGTTAGGCCCAATGGGTAACCAGTACACCACCAGAGCTCCCTTGTCACCCTCACAGAGTGGTGCAAATGGCCAGCATGATAAGCTAACTGGAAAGATCGAAGGTCTGAGCTCCTCCAGAGGT